GTATTAGACTGTGAAGGGAGACGTATTGTCTACAAGAGATAATGTTTTCTTGTCTTTGGTTATTGCTCGTTCAACCATGTTAAAACGAACAGCATTTCAAGGCTAAGTATTTATAAGTGAGTAGAACTTACAACCAATCACAGAGTGACATCAATTTCAGGGAAGCCATTAATACCAAGTGGAGTATTTCTGAAATAGAAGTGTTTCCTCGATTTCATCAATAGAGAATTCAAATGCAAATATTAACCATCGTATTTCTAGGGCTAAGGACCAAAGTTTGTGTCAACCTTACTTCTGAAAAAATGTTATCAACATGCAAGTTTGTTTCTTTGACAATAGCCAAGCACTTCCATCTCGAATGAATTTCACACTGAGAATTTCATCATATGGTGCTGGGAAAGAGCCCCCGGGATTTTTTTTTTTTTCGAGGCATTCTCAGTCACGTAAATCCCTTAAACCGCATGCGTGCAATAGAGTCCAAAGTCATACAAACTTGCAAGGGAATAAAAACACTTTACATTCGTTTGAAAGAGGCTGATATTTAATAGCTAGCTGACTTTTTATCACAAGTTATAGATAAAAAAAAATTGTGATTCTCTTAACACCATGAATACGTTTTCTCGTTCTTGAATAAAATCCTTTATCTGTAATTAATTATTAGGTTCTTGTCAAGAAGAGCTCCCTATTAAAAAATTCACAGCTTCTTCCTTCGCGCCTTCTCACGAACCGAGCGTAGCTCGTTTCAACTCTTCCTGTTGGAAACCCAGTGGTGCGGCCAATGGTACTGAAGACTACTTGGAGGTTGACTTGGGAATGGTTAAGGCTTTAAGTGCTATCACAATGTTTCCGAAAATAAACATTCAGTTCAATCTCCTGTACAGTACGGAAGGTATCAGCTGGAAGCACTATCCAGACCTCAGCGGTTCTACAAAGGTATATAGGAGCAATTCTAAAATCCATTTCATTCTATTTCAAGAGCTTTTAAAAGAACTTTACTTCAAGCCTTACTGTCCGGCGGTGATAGAAGGTATAGAAAAGGTACCTGATGGATTTTTTTTGTTTCTTGAGACGTTCTCATCTCTCGAGATGGTATAGTATCGTACTGAGATACGAGCGCGTTATTCCGCAAGAGTGATAACTTAGATTTTAATGGCACCATACACCAAATGACAAATCGTCAATTTAGTACATTTGTATCCTACACAATAACATCAAATTGGTAAACCGAGTGGCTTCGTTCCCAACTTTATGCGAATGTGTTTTCTCTTTGAGGTGTTTACAGTAAAAGGGGTGACCACTGTGAGTATTAAGCCTATGGTACAAGCACGTTTTCTTCGAGTTTATCCCATCAGAAATGACAACTGTTTTAGAATAAAACTTAGTGGCTGCACATCTTTCAAAGGAACAGGTAGGTAGTTCTCGCTTCAGTTTTGTTTCCTTAACTTTTTCGAAGAAATGGTAGCCCTAAATTTTCAAACAAATTGGCAATCTGAGTTACTTTTCTCCATTTATGAACATCTTTTTTGTCTATCATTACTTCTTTGATATTTTTCCCACCTTTAGAAGCTTCCAATATAAGAGGAAAAATTTGGGAATGTTATCTGTTGGAACTTCACTCGATATAGTATCCAGTTTTAGTTGGGAAATTTTCGGGCACTTGGGGCGTTTACAATGATCGCGCGCGAGCTAAAATCTATGATGGATGGCGGATTTGGCTATTAAAGTTTAAACTTTAAGTTTATTTCATTTCAAATGCTCCAGTTCATACAAGCTGCTGCTTTGAACTGTTTCTTAACTCTTGCGTTATGCGTCTATTAATTCCAAGCTTCAACATTCCCCACAAGCAACCTGCGGTAGCCCTCCAGCATTTGAGCTTTTGAAAATTGGTTCGTGCCGAAATTGTATTCAAATTATCCACCCACCGGATTTAGTCGTCAGTATTTTTATAAAAAGCAATAAAAGCGACCATTAATTTCTTGTAGACCTTTTGTTCCAAGCTATCTGCTCGCGAAAGTCAACTTTTTACCTTTACAAACCTCCATATTAATTTATAATCACGTTCATTAAGCTGGAAAGAATTGATTGGTTCGGGTCAAATTCCCCACCCCGCCTAGGAAAAGTTCAAATTCCCTACCATCCCGACCACGGACAACCGTGAAATAGCCTTGGGTTTCCCGTTAGGAGGATGTTGAACCTTCAAATTAATCGGCGTATTAAAGGAGAAACCCCAATAATTCGTTGAAATTCTATGACCATTTTTAAACTTAAAATTGTATAATTCGATTTGTAGACATGGCCATTATGTCCTCGGGAAGATATCCGTTTAATGAAACTGGACTGTTGATCAGTAATTCTGCAAAGGCGCTGAGGGGACAATATCATTCTACAAAGGATGCTCAAGTGGAGACAAGATACCCCTTTACCTCAATGAGCTGGACTCGTGTTACGTTTCGGCTTACGAAAAACTACAATACTTTCATATATTTAAACAATAAGAAGGGTGATCAAGATAAATATCACACCACTGCTCCTTATGAGTCGAATTTGGCCAGAGTTCTAAATTTAGCCAGTATGTCTTCTTGGGGAAACGTGTCTTCCACTCAGATGTGGGCTGTCGAGAATATTCAACTGTCTGATGTTAGTTTGTGGATCAAATCTAATGGTGACGACTTTCCTGAAAACACCCTGCCTGTGTTGTTAGGTACAGCTTTTTCAAAATCTTTCTTTACCCGCTAGGAAGTGATATGTGATCATAACTTCTCCACAATAATTTAAATCATGAAACTGTGTAATCAAACGCGTTCATTTGTTGGAGTCTTCTAAACCTTGATCGTCATTTATAATTTACTCATGTAACAAAATTGGGGAGAATTGTGTTGAAAAACTATGGGGAAGAAGGGATGGGATATTTCGCATGAAACTAGAACAGATGAGCCACTTTCTTCCATTGTAAACCATTAATTTTGAGTTGCAATCCCAATGAATTTTCCTTTTGGTAATCCTCCTCAAGGTGATGATGTCTTTGTATCTTATTTCCTCAGATAAGTGCAACTTCGATAATTCACCGTGTTCTTGGAAAATAGGAAACTGGACGAAAAGGCGTGGCCGTGTTCCTAGTGAGGGGACTGGACCTTGTCATTTGGCAGACTGCGCTGATAATGGTAAGTGCACTGGGTACCAGCAGTGAGGTCCTTCGAGTTTCACTTATATCAAAGCCCGACGAGTACGCCTGGGTAAACATCCCTTAAAAAAAGTCTCCTAAGAATTATAAGATTGTGTAAACAGTGTCAAAAGGTGCTGAATCTCCCGCTTCATGAACGCAGCGTTAAATTCGTTGAATTTTTTTTTTTTTTTTTGCCAGACTTCTCAAACTCTGGTGATTTTAGGTTTTTTTTTCGCAAAGGGAGGGTGAAAAATGCATAAATGTAGAAAATGCACGTGCAAAGGTATTATTTTGTTCATTATATCTTTTGTTTCGCTACGTTCTCATTTCAGTCTTCGTCGTGGTTCCCTCGA